ATATATATATATAAATATAATTATTGAAGTGTTAATAAGATTGAAAGAATGATAGATTATCGATAAATTTTGGCAAATCGTATGACAACCATTTCAGTCCTTTTCAGCTACATCTGGTATTCGAACTCGTGCCTGTTCCTGGAGCAACGTCACCTGGAAAAGATGCGAAAGTTGAAAAGAATGAGAAGCGACACGAATCTGATAGTGAATCGGCTGTGTTCGAAGCTGGCCGACTCGAAGTACAGGACGCGGTCGCTGACCACATTGATATCGAGCGAGAGCTACGAGACGTACGACAGCCGCGACACTATCTCGCGGATCATCGACGATCCGAATCTAACAACGGCGCAGAAAACGATGAGGATCCTTGGACTGACCGATCAGGACATCGCGGATGCACGCGCCAGGATCAAGGAGAGGGCTATTCGCGAAAAATTGTCGGTGCAAGACGACGATTCGCTCGGCAGAGCCAACAAACGCGACGTGTCCCGATACTTCTTCGACGAGTACGACTCGAACGTGCTGAAGGAGGATGAACAGAGCACGAGAAGTAGCGTGGATGAAACGTCGATGGAGGACGAGATCGCTACGAACGAACGTCAGGCTAATGAAATCACGATCACGGATGAAAGTAGCGCGTGTGATAAAGTTACGAGCGAAAGCGAGACTGCGGAGGATCGTGTTGCGATGGACGAAACTGCGAATGATAAAAATGTAAATGGAACAGCGGGGCAGGATCGTGTTACGACGGATGAAATTACGAGCGGCGAAATAATCGTCAATAATAATACTACATTAGTGAGTTCTATGTTACGTTACGTCGGTAACTTGTTTAGTAAAATTTAATTGAATACTAATCTCTACTAATTTTGAAAGTATTGATTCTATCAAGATATGGTGGAAATTATCTTTTGGACAGAATTTCTAAACAGATCCTGTGACCTTTTGAACAGAACTTTTTAATAGAATATGTTTTTTAAAACTAGCATAAACCTATGTCAATCGAAGAATTATTAATTTCATATCTGAACTTTAATTTTGTGAAATCTATCGAAATTACGAAAAAGAAGGGCCTGCAAATTTTATAAAATACCTCTTAAACTGGTAATTTTAATATTTCGTTGCAATGTTGATATCTTTTTGTATCTTTGTATATTTGTATTCGACGTACGAAAAAGAAAAAAAATATAACAATTTGCCCCTTTACAGCAAATAACTTTTCCAAAAATATATCTTCCTGGTATATATCTTATAACAGGATTATTTCTGCGAGATAAAGAGAACATCCTGCATAACTGAGATTTCGCGTGTTAATTCAGAGAAATCCATCCACGTTCTCGAGAAACGTGGATCCGTCGAATTCCTTCGAATCCATCCAACATTCATCGATGAAGAAAGAAGGACGAGCAGATTTCCCACAGACGAATCAATATGGCGGCTCCTCTTCGACAGAACGAGACTCGTCACGCGTGAATTTCTCGAGGCAAAGCGTAGAGATGAGTCCTATGGAACGGCGATCGCTGTTCGGCTGCAATTGTATCGTCGACGATTATCTGTACAACAAGACACTGGACGAGTATTGTCTCTCGAACGGTCCGATGATGAGGAACTCCACGCCTGACGAAAGCATCGACGAGGACAAGATGTCTGAAAATAGGGAGGACGATTTGGAAAATTCGAATGATACAACCTATCACTCGTGCTTGGATAATACCGATCAGAGTATCGAAAATCAACGAGCAGAATTTCCCTTGATACAGAAATTGTTGCAAAATGACTTGAACATATTGAGAAGTATTGGAAGGGACGATCGAAGGTTCGAGAACAGTTCGAACGATAAACCGATTTCAGGAGACGAGTCGACCGGAGGTTTCTCGAGATCGTACGCGTCCATCGACGTTCAAAGTCTGTCGGCCATTTTGAAGGATCTGAGCGTGACGAGGAACGTGGTGACGAACTTTGGAACCTTGAAGATTGTCGAGTCTAACGAAAGTACGTGTCTTTATAACTGTTACTTGAAATTTTTATTTCTATTTTTTTTTTTTTTTTTACTTTCAATCACTTTGTTTCTTTCCAGTTGTGAATACCGTGCAGAGGAGCGGGCGAAACACCGAGGGAAACGTAGTAAAAGTGAGCTCTTTCGGCGACGCGAATATCCCAAGGTTCTTCAAAGATTCGATGAAGGTTTTCGATGGTTGTTACGAGAAGGACTTCGCCAATAACACCGAACTCCAGTGTTTGCTTCGACAATTGGAGAAGAAGAAGTGGAGCATATTTCCAGCTCAACTTGGCCAAGCACCCTCCAACGTCTTGAAAGAACAGATCGATCATGGCAATCCGTCGTCAACTGTGCAAGACTTGAGAATGCAAAGACTTGGGCTATCCAACGATGGCAATTTCAGCACGATGAAGAGGTACGTAAGATTCGAAGATTATTACGTAATAAATACAGTAACTCCCCGCGTAACTGGCCACACTGGTGGACCTCGTAAGTGACCAGCGTTTATCCCTACCAACTCTTCTGGAATTGGGACTTATCCCCACTCTACGCCATCTTGCGGCCCCTGAAACATAACAGTCGCGCAACAGCGACGTGTCATACCGACATTTCGATTGTTTCGGATCGAAGTTTAGACAAATATTTTTTTTTTTTATTTTAAATAACAAATAGTAGTGCTTGCTTTCATTTTCATTCAAGTGTTACAAGTAGTTGAACATGTTGCTTAATAACATACATTAATAATTATACAAAATTAAAAATAATAAGAATGAACAATAAAACTTTGGTGGAGATGTTACAAGAAAAAAGATAATCATAACAAGAGCGAATAGAAATTATTTTGAATTGTAATAATCTATTGTAGATAAGTTTAACGTTAACAATCACTTTTATAGAAATTTCAATAAATTTTCGAGAAGTTTAGATCAATTGCAATCATTTGATAATTATTGCTTTGTTTATAATTTATTGTCTTATTTAATTTTATTTAGTTTGCACTGGAGGTAAGCTCCTCAGCGTAAACCGAAAACAAACTAAAATAGTGCACAATTCAGTCATTTATTTCAACGGACGACAAAAGTGATGTATCTTGAAAAATATAGAAAATTACAAATATAGAATGGTTTGCCACTCTTTCTCCATTACGCAGGCGATCTAAAGTTTTAATTTTCGATTTCTAAAGAAATAACTTTCCTTTTCATTTGTTTTCTTTCTTTTTTTTCAATTTCTTTTGGCATGGTGAAACTTTAATGAAATTAATAAAAATGCTACAGAAACTATAATTGTTTATCACTAACAATATGAAGTTTTGAAAATACACAATGATGCACAAACAGAAAGTTTTATTGTGCATACAAAAGAGGAATCGCCGTTTTTTTAGATTTGATACCAGTGTTACCAGAAGAATGGAAAAAATAACTAGAAATATTACGCAGATATTACCAAGCGAACGGAATTAAAAAATAACTGTAGAAATATGTAGCGAAAATGTTCACTTTTGCCAGTTCTATTTTTTTTTTTTTTTTAAATT